AGCCCAGGAGTTGGAGGTTGCTGTGAGTTGTGATGCCATGGCACTCTACCCAGGGGGATAGCTTGAGGCTCTGTCTCAAAAAAAAAAAAAGTTTGAGGACTCCTGGCTTATTGCAATCTCCTGGGCTCCAGTGAGCCTCCTGCTTCAGCCTCCCAAGTAGCTGGGACTATAGACCTATGCCACCATGCCCAGCTAATTTTTTCTACTTTTCATATAGACAAGTCTTGGTCTTGCTCAGGCTGGTCTCAAACTCCTGGGCTTAGGCGATCCTCCTGCCTCAGCCTCCCAGAGTGGTGGGATTATAGGTGTGAGCCACTGTGCCCTGCCAGTAACCTTTTTTTTTTTTTTTTTTTGAGACACTCTCACTCTCTCACTTTGCTACCCAGGCTGGAGAACCATGGCATCAAGCTAGCTGACAGCAACCTCAGACCAGACTCTTGGGCTCAAATGGTCCTCCTGCCTCAGCCTCCCAACTACCTGGAACTACAGGTGCACAATACCACACCTAGCTAATTTTTGTATTTTTAGTAGAGATGGAGTCTTGCTCTTGCTCAGGCTGGTCTCTAACTCCTAAGCTCAAACAATCCTCCTGCGTTGGCCTCTCAGAGTGCTAGGCTCACAGGCATGAGCCACTGTGCCTGGCTCAGGAACCTAATTCTTAGGAGTCAGGCTATAGAAGCTGAGGGAAGAGACAGCGAAGAGTGTTCAGAGAGGCTGAAGGAAAACCAGGAGCAGTGAAGTCACAGAGCCATGAGGGGAATATGTCCATAAGACCAGCCACCAAGTCACATACCAAGGTCACAGAAGTCATGGCCCAGAATGGGGCTCATGGGATAGCAAGATCCAGATTCTGCCCAGAGGCTCCATTCTCTCATTCATGAGAACCGGGGGTCCTGCCTAACTGTACCAGCTGTCTAGGTCTGTACTGTTGCTCTAACAAGATAGATACCACAGACCAGGTAATTTATAAATAATAGAAATCTATTGCTCACAATTCTGGAAGCTGGGAAGTCCAAGATCAAGGTGCTGGCATGTTCAGTGCCTGGGAAGGGACTGTTCCTCATAGACGGCACTTTCAAGGTCCCCTCACATAGCAAAAAAGATGGAAGGGCAAAAATGGCCTAGCTAGTTCCCTTAGGCCCTTTTATAGCAGTACTAATCCCATTCAGGAGGGTTGATCACCTCCTAAAGGCCTCACCTTCAATGCTACCACATTGAATCTTTGGTTCCAACATACGAAATTTGGGAAGACACATACATTCAAACCATAGCAATGGCCAGCCTGGAATGGGACACTCTGTCTCCTCACCAGGCCATGGTGGGGGAGGCTGTGCCCATTTGCTCAGCCCTGGGCTGAGGGCTAGACTAGGATCAGAGCAAGGTCAGGGAGGAGGCCAGGAGCTGGGCAAGGATGAGGACAGAGGGAAGGGGTGGGGTAGAAGATGGGTCAGAGACAGTATAGGGCTGAGAGATGGGCATGAAAAGGGGTCTCACAGCCCAGGCTAGGCTCTGTGCCACCCCCACCCTATTGACCTCTAAGATTTGCTTAGTCTCTGTCCTTGAGCTCCATCCAGCTCAGCCACAGCCAGTTGCTCAGTCCCTGTGGCCTGAGTCTGTGCTGCCAACAGACTGGAGGTCTCTGGCCAGAGTGAATCAAGGAAGAGGCAGTGCAGGGACCAAGGGCAGTGAGGCCGAATGAGCCCTGGACCACAAGCCAAGAGTTGTCTTGGCCAGGACAAAGAAAAAGAACTTTGCCAAGTATTTTGGCAGGTGCTGGTCATTGGGTGTCCTTCATAAATGTGGCAAAGGATGACTCATCCTATGCTAGGACAGAGCACCTAGATTCTAGGTGGGCCCTCCCAGGGTCTAGTCTCACTGGCTTCCAGTCTCTTCTCAATTGTTTTCTCATTCAATCCTGAAACATCTCAATGCAGGAGACACTAATTGTTGTGCCTATTTCATACATGAGGAAGTTGAGGCTGGAAAAAGTGAGAAGGGAGCTGAGGGTTCTCTCTCTAGGGAATTTTAGCCCTGTACTCCTAAGCACGCAATTGGCCGCTTTGTTTTTTTTTTT